AATAATGTTAATTTTAAAAAAGTCATTTAAAAAAGAATTAATTAAAAATTAATTAAAGTAATAAAAATAAATAATTACATTATGTTTTACGGATTAAAATTTATTAGAATTGCAATCAATTTTGATTTTAGTGAAAAATATTGCTCAGAAAAAAATATTAATTTAATTGTTAGACTTAAAAATAAAGACAAAACTATTAAGAAGATTAATAATGGTGTTGTAAAATTTAAAAATTTTTTAGAGAATATATAATTGCATTAAATTATAAATTATTGTCTTAAATTATAATTATAAATTAAAAATTAAATTTGTCTTAAACTATTTGTATTCAACTATTCAATATTTTCATTAATGGCAAAGATTTATTATATTATATTAGTAAATTTTGCGCTTAATAACCAATATTTATATTTTAAATATAAAAAGCATTTCAGCTAGTAAGTAACCAAATCAAAGTTCTCTAAATACCCAATGATTTCCCTTGCCATAATAAATAATAAAGAACGTATATTCATCTAAGAAGAACTCATCTTCACTTCACACATATATCATATACCTGTTAGGCATCCTTTGCAGCGCTTAGTCAATCTAGTTACCATAAATATCGTCGTGATTTGAAGCCCGATATTAAACAGAGAGTGAGGGTGGTCCATGCTCCATGCGGCTCATCAGCATAAACATTAACGCCATTATTAACAAGAGCCCTAAACAACAACAAACAACAACGTGCATAATTATGATTGGGCACCGGGTTCCCCAAAAACACAATCGTGTTCTGGCTCTTTGTTGTTGTTGCTGTTGTCGCTGTCTGTCGCCGGGGCTTCAAACAAAAGCGACGCTATCAGAGCGAGCGAACAACAAAAGACACTCAAACGGCGACCACACACAACACAGTACACACAAAGCGAGAAAGAGTGAAGGAGAGAGAGTGAGAGACACACACATATGCTCCTCACTCACACACGCTGGAAGCTGTTATGGAGTAGCTAGCCATGTCGCCTGTGACAGACAGCGAGACAATGGCGAATGAAATGGAGCGAGTTTTTTCATGGGAGGTTAGGGGGGCGCAGACGCTCATGTGAGTGTGTGTAGTTGTATTTGTTTATCGAATAATCAAATTGTTTATCGGGCCCAACTAAAAACGTGGAAAAAACAACAACAAAACCGGCGAAACAATTAATTTTAAAGTCGTTTGATGTGAACAACACTTTCACCACACGCAGTACCCGACGCACAGCTGAAGGAAGGGAGAAAGCAGTCGCTCGGAGTGTCCTTCGGCCTGCTCTGGAAATTGCGTTTGATGTTTGTTGTTCTTGTTGTTTGATTTGGGACTGCGTTGAGCCTGGGAGCTGCAGCAAGTGCGCGTCGAGGACAACCATTAATCAAAGCAATTTACATTTGTATAAATATTTAATTAAGCGAAGAGATTGCTGTAGCCCCTGTTAGATGTCAGTTCTCCGCTTACAGCTGACAAAACCTTATAGGCGCCAGCAATTGAGATTAATTAATTACATTTCCAGGATTATGTCTTAAGCATTTATGGAGGATTTCTTTGCGGCGCTAACAAAAAACGAAAAAACTTGAAATACTTTGAGAAATTACAATTGCTTAAGAGCTATGAGTGAAATAGAGAGAGAAAGACATTTGATTCTTAATATACTTATATCTTAAGGCCATGGAACTAACTTGCTTTTCTTAAGCTCAAACAATCAATTGATAAGAAAGGTAAGAAGTCTCATATATATCTTCTTTTCGATAAAGATCAGTGTAGTCGATCGAGGCATGTTCTTTTGCCCCGCTTTTTGTGTATCTTTCATAATATTCAAATGTTTTAATTACTTAGCAGTTAGGACCCATTGCAAGCCGAATCATGATGATTAGAATGTTAATTTAAGTCATTCTGATAATGAGCCTAAAAATATTTTGATATTTCTTATATATAGCTGCTATCATATCTATTTTAATAATAATAATTAAAATAGCTCGAAGACTTTAATAGCTGAAGACATTAAGTATGCTTAGTTAAGTAGTTATATACTTATATGTATATATTTTTATTTATGCCAGCCCCTATTCACAAAATTCTTGACTACTCTTAATACTAATTGGACAGAATTTTAAAATGCAAAATATTTAACAAGTGAAAAAAATGAGTTTTAAAAACATAATTTTTTTATACTAATCTTAAACACAAAATTGCTTAGAAGTCTTAGCTAAAAGTAGTTCTAAAAAAATGCACTTTGCTTAATTGCTTGAGTATTTAGTGTATTGTTCCACTGAAAAAGCTTCATATTGCTTATTCGAAACTGAATTTCCACGAATATCAATCAATTGCTTCAAGGTGGCGGCTGCAAGCGAGCACAGAAACACACACAAATATGCACACACGCATACTGAGCAGAACACCAAATAAACGGCGTTCGAAATTCACTTAAAATGCCAAACAAATATATTGTTTAACAAATTTAAAGCACACTGCGCCGGCTGTCAGTGGCTGAGGCTTCCCAGAAAACCAACAAAGCCGCTGAGCATGCGCAAAGGCTCGGCTCTCGGCTCTTGGCTCTCCACTCTCAATTTGTATTGTCATTAGCGATTATGGGCCAGGTCCTGGGACTGGGACTGGGACTGGGACTGCGGCTGGGGCGTAATACGATATGTTGACAAAACGCACAAATACAGTCCAGACAGACACGGAGATATAGACAGAGAGACAGAGAGACAGACACACGCACACACAATTCGATCGCTGACAAACCTATAAAGCATTTCGAACGGCGCTACTTCAAAATTTTTACTCCTTTTTGCGTCCAGGCGTCCATTGTGCACTCCACAAAAATACGTAATCAAAACCGCGCAGCCACGAAAAAACAGAAAGACGAGGAAAAAGAGCAACGAGCCAAACGATGAATGTCGGGGCAAGCCGATCAAGGACCAGGTTTTCATTCGAAATACATATGTTTGAATGTCTGTGGCGCAGGCGTAACGAAAGTGAAATCGAGACACAGAGCCCAACCGGCAGCTGGAACACCTTCGCCTCATCATCATCAGCATCATCATCGTCATCAGGCATACTCCAGCCCGCTGTTGTGTGTTGTTAGAAACGGCACAAAGAACCAGTCGAAAGTCAAAAGGGGCACGCGCTCTCAACGCTCTTCAACCCCGGCCAACCTGGGGCCGAGCCTAGGCTCGAGATCTGCAGACATTGTGACTGATCGGTTGGTCGGTCGGTTGTCTAGACAAGCCGCAGACACAAGTTTAATAGACTTATTGTAATTGAGTCACAAAAGCCACACTCGAATATATCGAATCACAACTCTTTCACATTTTCATTTACATTTTCCAGCTGCTCAATTGGAAAAGGTGTTGCTGTTGCTGTTGTCTGAAGGTTTGTAGGGGCGCATTACGATTGAGGATCTGGCTATTCGAATGCAATTTTACATGTGACTCGTCACTTTAAAAATTGTTGTGAAAATTTAATTAAAAATGTACGGCAAATATTTTGCTTGTTTCTTTTCACTTTTCACTTATATTTCCATTGTCTCTGCTTCTATTTAATGCTCTGTGCTGTGCTGTGCTGTCATGTGATGCGTTTTGTCAAGTTGACTTGCCCACCTTTTTGTGGCCTTTGTCCCAAAAGAGAACACGACACAATGCGTATGTAGTTAAATGTTTGCTCATGCCCTCTCCCCCAATAACACACACACACTCACACACATGACAATATATTTTCCGTGTGCATGTGTGTGGTTGCTGGGTTGGCTAACAAGTTAATTTTCCATATTTTCTTTGGTAAAACTTTGCACGAACTCTATATCAAAGTCATTATGTGGTCGTCTTTGTGTGCGTGTGTCTGGTGGTCTGCTTGGGTCGTGCTTGGTCCACGATAAGTAAGACAAAGGCGAATAATGAGCAGAAGCCTGAAAGGCAAAAGCTAACCAGTTGGAAATTTTTAGATTCGTCGACTTTAGTTAATTTAAAGAACTATCAATTTTTATATTAATTAGATCTTGTCAATTTTTAGAGCTACTTGATTTTAATTATATAGAGTAAATATTTATATACATGTATATTTTTGGAACATCAATTGAATTTTATCTCTAATTTTTAAAATTATTTTTAAATTATTTTTTAAATATGTATTTGCAAATGCTTCTAAATTTTTGCGCAATATTTAGTGAGTATTTTAACTTTAGCTAGCATTGAAGGGAAGGTCTAAAGAATGTAATCATTTTTTAGTTTATATTAAATACTTCAAATTTCATGATATTTTTACGATGCAGAGCCAAGTCCAATTCCATGTAGAATAGGAACAACATTATTGAAAGGCGCTAGCTTTCACACGTTTTGAAGTCAATGCGCTTTAGTTATTCTTATGCTGTAAATCTGGTTGATTGGATTACAGATGCTTTTTCTAGGGAATAAATATATTACGATAATACATATATATTATTAAAGCCTATTCTATAAGATATCATTATTAATGAAAGCCAACTCTATGAGTTATCAATATGTGAGTAATTCTTGATTGTATTTATTAGTGTCGACTCGGCATACCAAGTAAAATCGTTTAATTAAAAAAAAAAAATTTAATTACACTGATATTTGCTGAGCAGCGCTAGCTATGCAGGTTTGAATTTAAATATTGTACTCTAGAAATAAACTACGATCGCTGTGCCGAATACAGTTCTTGACCTTGCGTTTCGCGCGACTGTCACATTTCGCCAGTCAATGCTCTGAACCCATTCTCATCATTATCGGCATAAAAACAATATCCAATAATGATTAAATGGTATATTAAAATTCAATTAATTTTAAATAAATAAAATTTCTAAATATATTAATTTGTACAATATTTTTGTGTAAATATATATGTATATTATATATATATATATTTTTTTTAATATATATATTTTTTTATACATTATTATTATAAGTTGTAATATATATTTTCCTATAGGTTTATTAATTTGTATTATTTTAGTATTTCTATATTTTTCCGCCAATTTATCTGTATTTAATTTAATCAATATTTCATAGCTTACAAATATACGACAATCATATTGTTTCGCATTTCGTATACAACTTTCTCTGAGCTCATTGTATCAACTTGTAGACAATTATGTGTACCAACTCGCAATCGAGATAAGAGTGCAAACATTACAGCAAACCCTTGTCCAGCAATGGTTTGCAGCCCTCTCCATTTAAATTGCTGGCGATAATCCTTTGCCGGAGCTCGCATATGTCGGAGATTTTTCACGCACGAGAAAATCTCTTAAATGCTGCCAATCTCGAATGTCAATAGCAGCGGCCGTCGCGACTGCAAGCGGCGCTGCTTTGGGGGCTGAAGGAAGCAGTGTGTGGGGCGTGGCACTGTGCGAACCTGTTAATACCAAAAAAAAATTATCACACAATTACGATGCCCGACAAAAGGTCAAAGGGCGTCTCCTCAGCCCAACAGAGAATCGTTTAAAGACAAATTAATGTATATTTAAGCTGCCTTGTAGACTAATTGCCCAAAGGCCTCGGCCAAAACAAGCTCCACAATCCAACACCAACAAATACACACGCATAGGCATACAAACACTCTCACAATCTTCGGAAAAACATTGAAAATCTCACGCCTTTGTTGATTAATTAATCAAAGTAAATAGCTGCAGCGAGTAAGCGACGTCATTAGCGTAATCTAAACTGCCTATTGATAAGCTTTTTCCACACCTAATGGCTACATTAATTGAGGGAACAGCCCGACGAGCAGGGCCACACCGACGACAAAGCCGAGCTGAAGTTGGCTTCGGGCAGCGCCATCCGAATATCTGATGGGGAAAAGGTCATCCCAGAGGCTATAACGATCAATGAAATCGGGTGGACCTAACTTAGTGACATTGTCATTGTATAACATCTGCATCTCTGTCTCATTGCAGGGTGGCCAATATATGAGAGAGTTGTCCAGGGGCTCACTGTGAAGATCAAAACTGAATTGGAGCCATTCACTGATCTCATTGATTGGGCTTACCCCGTACGTGCAAAATGAGTTATCCAACTGGTCAGGCGCTCCATCATGAACAGATCCGTATGATTGGGACTGAAGATTGAGCCATACCACAAGCTAGGCATCACATACTGCCAGTCATCCGCATGCCCCACTCCAGTTGGCATATTGTCATTATCCAGCGGCGCCGAGACACTTCTCTGTCCAACGTAATCCATGCGCATGTAGTAGACATTGGTGTGGCTGCGTGCTATCTGTACAAGTCTATAGACACCGTGGCCTATAATGCCATCGGAGAAGATCTGTCCAAACCTCTCAATATTCGTGGCGTTCAGCTCCTCGACATCGGGACCCAGATAGAAATCCTTCAGGCGCGTGCTCCTTCTTACATTATAGTCAAACAGGAAAAGCTCCGGCGCATACTCATTGAAGTGCGTAATGATGTCGTGCAGCAGCAGTTTATTGTCCAGATGTCCTAAGGGATTAAGTTAATCTTAAGCTCCGTCAGTTGACACTTTATCTCGCCTACCTATGGTGGTAAAGTCCAGCTCGTTGGCGGTGTAGCTGACCATCAGCGGCACCCGGTTAAATCTGCCGCTGGCTATCAGAGCACTGGGATGCATGGGCAAGAAATATCCATCGACTTCGTAGTTCCACTTCATGTTGACGAACTTGTACTGTTCCCAATCACTACAGACGTCGACGATGCGCTGCCAACTGACTTTGCGTAGGCATTCGATCATGTCGAACTCATCGTACATGGGACAGCTCAACTGTCTGGCCAAGATACGTGTCCAGAATTGGTTGTGTATGCTGTAGTGATTCGTTGCCGAGCCGCTCATAAGGATGGCACCATGGAACAGTCCAGTGGACAAAGGCGAGGCCAAATGTAAGCTGACAGCCATGGCGCCTGCACTCAAGCCCAGTATCGTAACCCTGTCCGGATCGCCTCCAAAGTGGGATATGTGCGATTGCACCCACTCCAGTGCCATGACCTGATCCAAATAGGCATTATTGCTGCCTCCCAGGAAGCCCAAGGCGCCCAGCCGATAGTTGAAAGCCACCATGACAACATCGTGATCCAGCAGATACTCAGGTCCAGCCTCGTATTTGCTATGACCGCTGCCCAGGACATTGGCACCACCGTGTATATACACAATCACTGACAGACTGTCATTTAGAGTCTTGGTAAAAACATTCAGCTTAAGACAGTCCTCGCTCATCAGCAGCTTGACGCCCGTCTGGGGACATATCAGCGAGTCGGAGGTGGCCTTCAATGTGGTATCTCCCCAGGCCTGAATTGGTCGGGGCGGCAGAAATCGCAGCTCACCCACTGGCGGCTGAGCATAGGGTATTCCGCGAAACGCATAGATCGTCTGGTTGCGAAAGCTCTTCATTGTGCTACCTTGGATGGGACCCAAAGTCGTGCGCACAATCAGTTCATCATCACGTGGCGCAATGCCAAGACAGAAAGTGAACTGAAGCAGTAGCACCACCACTACCACCACCACCAATAGGCAAGTCATATTTCCTTTTCTCACACGACTTCCGTTTTCTATGAGAATATTTTGCTTGATCGGTTTTAGTTTTTCTTTCCTTTGTTATTTGGCAATTTGGGTGGTGCGACGCACCCGCATGGACGATCTTTCGACACTAAAGCGTGCCACGATCTGCAACTGTAACTATAAACTTCACACGGTCGCAATGCTATCGCAAAGAAGCACTTGATAAGCTTATTATTGGCATTTGATTAGCTTGTTTTATTTGATTACAAATCGTGTTGTGCTCTCTATAAATAAAAACTCATGACAGCAGAAAAAACAACATAAACTAAACAGTAGGCAAAAGCCAATTTAAAATGTGAGTTTACTGCCATATGGAAGAGAAGAGAGAACTTTCAACTTGTGTCTTGAATATCTTTAAGCTTATCAATTTAACATTTTAACAGCTCTGGGCTTTATCATGTAAATAAATGAACCCATTGCCCTTGTGCTTAGGGATATCTCACTCTAATCTTATCCACAAATTGTGTTCTTATATAAATCTGATGTCACACAATTTCGAATCTTAAAAAAACAATCTCCATTTTATATATGAAAATTAAAATAATGAATAACTAAGTTTTCAAAGTAAAATACAAATTTAATTAACAAATCTCTTTTTTCTTCTCTCTTCTCTTCTTCTCTTCGCTGTTCTCTTTTGTGTCTCCTCTCAACTCTCTTCTTTTCTATTCTCTTCTGTCTTCAGTCTTCTCTCTTCTCTTCTCTGCCTTCTCTTCTCTGTCATCTTGCTTCTCTTCTCTCTCTTTTCACTTGTCTAAATGTCCTCTCTTTCCAACATCTGTTTTCTAACTTCTCTCTTCTGAATTTGGTCTTTTTCTCTTCTTTTCTTCTTCTGTTCTCTTATCTCTCGTCGCTCTACTCTTTTCTCTCTTCTGTCTTCTAGTTTCTCTTTTATGTTTTCTATCTTCTCTCATCCGTCTGCTGTCTTCTGTCTTCTCTCTCGACTCTTCATCTTTTCTTCTTTTCATCTCTTCGATATACTCTCTTCTATCTTTTTCTTCTCTATTCTTTCTTCTCTTGTTTTCACATCTTCTTCTCTTCTCTTCTCTTCTTGTCGTTTGTTTTCTTCTCTCTTCTCTGCTTGTAATCTGTTCTCTTCTTCTCTTCTCTTCAATTCTATAACTAGCATAGCTTAAGCCTAATAATTTTCGGATTGCTGGTCACTAAAGTAGTCAGCAGCATGATCAGTCATAGATATTCCTTTTTCCAAATTTCCATCATTAGATGATATTCTCTGGGACTTCTCACTGACCTTGGCCAGTCACATTCGCAATCCATTTCAATTGAAACTTACTGCTTCATTGAAGTGTTGGATTGAGTTTCGCAGCCGTTAGAGACACAGCGCCCTTTCACTCTAGCAGCACGGATGCTGCTGATCCTACGCCCGCAGATTTTTTTAGAATTTCGTAGGTTTTTCTCATGGCTTTGGCAGCAGCCAATGGCAATGGCAATGGCAGCAGCTCGCTGAGATTTAAATTGATTTCCTTATTAGTGCACATCCCTCTTGTAATATTCAATTAAAACTACCCACGACGCACTCATAGCCGCGTCTATAGCTTCTCATTGATTGATATAAGCCGAGTGGTAATTACTCGGGTCCCCGACACTTTCCAGCACTCTGATTTGCCTGGGCAAAAGTGAAAATGATGGCGGCGGTGCTGTTGTGTGAAAAGCTGACAATGACCTTTGTTAAATCAATTAAATTAATTATGGCTGGAGTCGCCAACGAGACGTTCGGAAATTAAGCAACAAAGCCAATGGTCGATAGTTCATTTAAATAATTGTCATGAACAAATAGAAATATTTACTACAATTTTTATAATCTGGAAAATGTCGTTTCCACTGAAATATTTTCATTGTTGGTGGGATAATTCGTTTCTACATTGATGTCATTGCTAGCTATACTTGCCTAGTATATGCTCTATGTATTATTATATAAACCTTATCTTCTTATATTTAGTATATAAAATATAAATATTAATTAAATATGAGCCATGCCTTTCTAGTTAAAATTCTATCATCAAATCTTTTAGTTGATAAAGTACATTTAATAATATAAAGTTGCTGGCACCCTAGTGTAGATCCCTTGTATGACATATATATAGAAGATCATCCAGTCTCTGCATGTATACAATATGATCTCAATGATGTTAAATATCATAACGACATTTGTTCACACATCGGCGAGTCTCAACATTTTAATCAAGAAAATAATTCTCAGTAACCCCAAAACTTGCAAATTGCGACAATCTGCTGCTGCTGCTGCTGCTGCTGCTGCTGTGGAGTGAAGCTGTATGTAATATTCCAGTCACTTGAGTGCCCATGTGCGCGACGTTTCGCCACAGGAGCTGCCCAAGCACCGACCACCGTGTACCACCGTGCAACATCGGGCCTCAGTACTCCAGTTGTTGCAAATATATGAGTGGCCTCTTGACAGACATCGTCATCATCATCAGCAGCAGCGGCAGCAGCAGCAGCATCTCAAACTGTGCCACTTCAGCGGTTATGTGTATTGTTTGCGGCAAAGCCGCGAAATGCTGAAGCTTCCTGTGGCTTGATGACGTCGCGCACCACAAACCACTTTGGCAGACATGCAAAAATTTCTCACGCATCGTTTGCAGATGTTGCAAGAACTGGGAAGTGGGCAGAAGAGAGAACTTAAAAATGGAAGTTGCTTGAATAGTGCGCCGAGCAGAACAAGCTAGAGAAAAATAAGTTAATGAGCACAAGCTAATCGATAAGGAATATCAAGGCATGGCGAATGTCCTTAGGTGAATAGAATGAAGATAGGTGAAGGATTGAAATGAGATAAAATGCTGTGAGCTACTATCTGTAAGAATACTAATGAATACCGAAAGCATGTGGATTGTCTTGGTATATCAAAATGTAAATGAAGACATCGAAAATGTCCTTAAGTTTATAGAATGTATTAAGCTGAGTGACTTAGCAGTTTTCAATGCCTCTAGCAACTAGCTAAAAGGAAGCTAAGAGAAAGCTACCAAGACATGAAGTAGTTGAATGTAGATGTTGACCTAAAGACCCCAAATGAGGAAAGTTGCCAAATGGCAACATTAAAAATATCAATGAATATCAGCATATCGAGACACGCATTGTGCTCGCTATGAGCTGCCTTTCTTGAGGTGACTTACAATAGTTTATAATGACAATATGTATGACCTTTCATAACCGCCGGAATGATCTTGAAGCACATGCCACGCCCTTGGTGGCCTACAAGATCGATTTCATTTATGTTAGATTTGTTAATTTGTGCAGCAGCTGCCAGGCCAGGCCAGAGCCAGGGCCTAGGCCAAGGCCACTAGAAAACGCATATGTGAATGCAAATTGAAGATATTTTAATAAGTTTTGTGCTCCGATATTTAAATGACATTTGACAAGTTGAAAGGAAACAGAGTCGCAACTCTCAAGTGACCAACATGCTGGCCCCGAACAAAGCCGGAGAGCCGGCGAGCCACGCCTCATACGCAACTTGGAACAAACAATGCTGAAAGGAAAGGAAAACGCCAAGCAACAATTGCCGAAACGATAAACCACTTGAGTAATCAATCAAAGCGATATGCTGCAGCACAGGCGAGACGTCGCGACCTCTTGTAATGAATATTTAAAGATGGGAATTATCGCATTGGTATCGTGTCGAGGCTGGAGAATGGAGGCAGAGCTAGGGACAGGGGTAGTTAAGCATTTTGCATAAATGATAGCGAAACAATAGACCAATATCCTAAGGCCTTCGTTCGCTGCCTTTGCATATATATGCGATAATTTGAACACAAAAGTGCTCAGCTCCGAGCAGCATGTTGCGTCTAATCTATACATGAATATTTCTTGTAATCAATACATAAGAACTGAATCCGCTGTAAGGCACAGGGAGAGAGACGTAGAGTTTCTTCCTTTGAAGATCAGCGATCCTTTGGCTCAAGTGAGCAAACGCACAAAATGTGAAACAAAAAACAAAGGCGAACACGAGCACTCGAACCACAATTTCTTGGAGGGATCGAGGGCCATCGCTGCCATTGTGATATTGTAACGAGCGTGACGTCTTATTTGTGCCAGACAAGGCCAAGAGCCACGCAACGGAAGGGTCGCCGAACTGAACTGAACTGCACTAAGCTTCCCTTATCCACGCAGTGCCAAGAATTTCACACCAAGGCGCACACATTGTTGTCTAAATAGGACCTAATTCTTACTTACTTATTGCTTAGCTGTTCGAGTGCTTCAATCTAAAGCTTTTCTCAAGGCTTGCAGCACCACTCGGCGGTTACCCTCTGTCTCTTCAAATATATTTGTTGCAATTATGGGGCATAATAAGCTTATCAAATTTGTCTATGACACATGTTTTGTTTTTTAAGCTGAGTGTAAGATTATTCTTGAATTGAATAAAGTAATAGCTGGATCATAAGTAATAACTTGGAAACTACTTAAATTCTTCTGATTTGCCTTTCATTTCGGGTAGCTTATTTCTGATCTGTTTCAATCATATTTTTTTATGAATTTTATTGTTACAGTAAAATTTGGAATTTATACAAATACAGTAAAACTTTGAATTTAATTTACGCATCAATTTGTTCAATGCGTCTGTGTTCTACGAAAAATGTAAGCACTACATATTTGTATATGCATTAAGAGCTATTCAGATCTCTGGCAAACATTTTAACTTGGCAAATAAAATATATGAAGTTGTTTCCTAATTTTTTTTTTATTTTAAGCTGCTTTTTCAAGATTGATTTTCCAAAAATTTAGTTCATAATAGTTTGAATTGTAGCCACACTATAGTTCAGTTATTTATAGATCTAGAGAACTGATTTAGACAACTGCTTAACAAATGCAGTCTTAGAACAAAGTACCAATAATAGCATATCTTATACGTTCTGTCATTTCTGTTATCAAAGTAAAAATTATGAAAATTATAAGCAGAATTAGACTAAAACGTCACAACTTTGTCGAAATTAATATATTTTAAAAATTACTTTTATTTTAGTTTTCTAAAACTCTACTGAGTACTTAATGTTAAAGAATATGCAAAGACGAATCCAGATCCACCAAATGCTCTGCAAGCTTTGCTCAAACAGCTTGCCATGATTAAGATCTTGCTTGATATGAATATAAATTCTCTTACAAGTCCTTAAAAATTTTCTAACTGTAACAAAACTATGATCAACTCCAATCTACTTTTATTTCAACAATTAAATTTTATATTATTTCTTTGCCTTTAATTTCTGAATGGTTTTT